ACACACACCACTGATTGCTTCATGAATCATCGAAATGTGCATGGAGGACATTTGTGGTCGGAATATGCTGGTTTGCTGGCTGGCTGCATTGCTGGCCGTGTGGGTGGGTGGGGTGTGTGTGTGTGTGATTGATGGTGCAGACAAGACGTAAGGGGCGATAATGTGAGGTGGGAGAGGCCACGTGCGCAACGCCAACATGGCGACAAGGCGGTGATAGGCCAATCCGTCATTAAGGACGCCACGTTTGGTAGTTGGCGGAGGTGATGATCAAAGGGAGCCGACAGCGGCGATCTCCTTCCGCTCACCTCCACTGCCAACATGCAAGTTGCCACCTTGATCGACACTGGCAAATGGAAGTAAGGGAGAGGAAGGGAGGGGAGAGACATCAGTCAGAAAGGCAGGCGGATGCAAATGTGGTGTGGTGATGAGAATTGTCATCCTCGATGTGCTGACATGTCACCGTCAAGGTCATTCCACCATGTGATATAACAGGACTGACAACTTTTGTGTTGCAGAGAGGGTCAGGTGAAGGAAGCCTTCTGGGGAGCCTCGAACTACCGTCTGAGCTACGACTCGAGACGACGTCTGCGTACAGCTGAAATCGGCAGCACACTCAACACACTCGTCTTCGACTACCAAAGTGCCACTTTGCCCCACCTGGTGAGTCGCAGCAGGTGCCTCCACTCACCTCCCGCCTTCACACCGCATGCCAACTGGCCACCAGTCAACTTTATCTCTCACTTGTGATCGACTCAGCAGGTTCAGTGGATTGGACACTGCATTTACGGCATCAAAAGTTAACTTTTATGCACCACATTGTCTGTGTACCGGTTGGGGTGGGGTGGGGGGTGGCGGAGGGCGAAAGAGAGGAGAGAGGAGGGAGGGGGACGGTGTGAGAAGTTTCCTGCTTGTTGGTGAGACCATTTGTGAGGTCTGAAGTAGTGAAAGTAAGTAGTCATCCCCTCAAAGACACAGACAACAATGTGACTGTGATTAGTGGTAACAAAATGCACCCCAAAGGCAAAGTCTACAAAATCTGTCTTTCGAAGGACCTTTTTTCTCGTGTCAAATCACGTGACCACAATTGGTCGGGTGTATAATTTTGATTAATTCGATCACACACGTCCAACTCAAGGCATCGTTTAAATCGGAAATATTTAAACTAAAACAATATAATTTTTTGTCCGATTTAATGCATATGGTTTCAAGACCCGAACCCAAACTTAGAGCGGACGCAATGGGGAGTTGGATCATTGGAGGGGGGATGAGGCGGAGGAGGAAATAGAGAACCCTAAAAATGAAAGTCGATTAAATTGTGCGCCTTTTGTTTTTCTTGCAAATTGTTTTTATAAGTAGTTTAAGCCAATCAAATTTGTTTTTAAAAAAACATTATTTTTATGTAAAATTTTTCGTTGTCAAAATGAGTCTCCTTGGTGGTGTCAAACCTGGAGGGGGGAGGGGAGGGGGGTTAGCAGAAAAGGGCGGCCAGGAAGGGGGTTTGAGAGGACGGAGCAGTTCTGAGTATAGCACACCAGACTAAAAGTATTCCACAAATCGAGGTAAAGTATGCAGAAAGACGTCTTCATTGTCAGCAGTTGTGATACTTGAAGTGTCATTGTATTCCTCTCCTCTCTACCCTTTTTTTTTTACTTTTTTTTTCCCTTCTCTACCAGTTGACAGAAATTTCAGTTAGCGGAGTGGGCACTTACCGTTTGGTGTACAAACACGATCCCCTTACTGGTGAAAATGGTCTTTCCCACATAATTACACCATTGGGAGTGTATCGAACCTTCTCCCTCTTCACCAGTCTCGGTGTGGAGCGTCTCACCCTCTTTCCGTGGTCTCTGGAGGCTGGTTCTGTCAATACTGCCGCCTTCACTTTTGACTGGGAGACTCGTATTTCACCTTCGGTTGCCTTTCATGGCTACCCTTTAGCACGGTTTACGTGGCCTTCAGGTCGACGTGTCAATCGATTGTGGTCAAAACGTCTCATTGTCTACGACAATGTTCAAATTCATTGGAATTGTGATGATTTAATGGACTCCACTTTTGTTAGTCTTCAAGATGCTATCAATGAATTTGAAATTGATGAAACACGTCAATTTGGAGCTGGAACTTTGGTGACTCATGTTAGAGGAGATTTGCGTCTTGCTGGTACTCGAAGACTTGAATCACCTCGTGGAACCCTTTTGACATACAATTATGAATACGAGTATGATCACAGTTTTATGGTGAGTGACATCATTTTTTGTCTTCTTTTTCTTAATACTTTATGTAGAGAGGAAGAAAGAATCCACCAAAGTTTATGTTTTCTTTTTTTTTTTTTTTTTAATTACAGGTGTCAGGAATTCGGACTTGCCTCTTCCAATCGGCTACAGCCTCACCTCTTTGGTGTCATCGATGTCATGTCACCTTCAACAATTGGGCTGGCTATTCTATCAATCCATTGGGTGTAAATTTTTTCCATGAAGGTCTCTCCACCACTCTACTTTGGAGTCAAAGTGGACTACAATTAAATCGATGCTTTGACAACTCGGGACGCCTCTTAACTGTGTCCTTACAACAGGCAAGTTGTCACAATCACTTGTTTTTTTTTTCTTCGTTCAACTAAAAAAAAAAGGGGCGGGAAAAAAAGTGGAGTGAGGAATTTTCTACATCACTATCATGAACTGGCGGATGTGGGTATGCATTAACTTAATTGCCATCGTGCCTCCTTGTCATTCATCTTGGTTAGGAGGTGCCTGGAGGGGCGGGGCGGGGCGGGGGCGGGACGGGAAGGGAAGGGAAGGAGGGAGGCAGGGCTAAATTGGATGCACCGGAGAATTAATAGCAGAACAACATTGGCACTTAAATGCCTTTTTTTGTAGACCTTCTTTTCTTTTCTATTTTCTTTTTTGTTTTGTTTTTTTTATGAATAAAGGCGTCAAAACGTCAGGAGGTGTTAATCAATGTCACCTTTGAGTACCGAGGTGATGGTTTTCTACCATCAGACATGAGTTTGGAGACAATGGAGGATGTGCCAATGCGAACGCACTACAGACGCGGTCCTGGCGGTCGTATTGAAGGCATAGACTGTGAAGTGATTGGCTCCAGTCGTCGACGTCATGTTCAAGTGGTATACAATGAGGAGTCACGAATCTCCGATCTTCGTCACTACATTTCGGATTCACAGTTTGCCAAGGCGGGAAGTGGTGAAAGTAAACGCATTTCTACCAAATTTGTCTACGAACGTGGTCTCCTTTCGGGATTTGGTAATTGGAAGTATGTTTTTGATGAAGACGGTTGCCTTGTTGAGCGTCGATTACGTGACACTGGCAGCATTGAAGATCTCTTCGAATATGACAGCAAAGGTCTGCTTCGATGGGTGGAGCGACGAATTATGCCTTCACTGATGGATGAGGCTCAACGCAAACAACATCAACAATCCATTTCCGAGGACCTTCTTTGCACTGGTCTTGAGAATGTTTGCTACCATCAGGAGGTGGGTCTTATGATGGACTATGCTGTTCAATTTCTCTACGACAGTGAAGATCGCTTAGTAGTGGCACGAAATACACTGGCAATTGACGATATGATTCAATTCTTCTACGCTCATCCACAACATCGCAATCGCTTAACATCATTCTTTCATCATGGCAAAGGCAAAGCGTACTTTCTGACCTATGAACAACAAAGCGGTCACCTATTTGCCATTGAAGAGGTGGATCTATCGGCTGTGGAAGATTCAAATCCTGAACGGAGGCTGTACATTGTCATCACCGATACAGAAGGCTCCCCCATTGCTCTCTACGCCGATGAGAAGGTAAATCTTTTTAACATTCTACTTAATTACCTTCTTAAAAGGTCAATTCTGTGACATGATCTTACTAACAAGGGATTTTATGTATGGCGTCTTGGGAAAGAGATTCGATCCCCACATTCATTAACCAGCCCGTGCAGTCTAGCAGGATGTATTTCATTAACAAATGGCAAGTGGATAAGATGATCTGAAATGAGAGAGACTTCCTTTTCACTCCACACATCATAAAGTATCGGTAGAACAGTCCTAATAAATGTGATTTGGGTCTGCTTGATGTTGATCATGACGATGAATTGACGCAAAATGGAGGCCATGCTTCGTGAAGGAGGAAGTACCATCAAGCTGCGATCTGATTGGTCGTCGATTGCTGGTTTCCTATTGGTTGAATTTATTAGAAAGTGACAAATCAAGACCAACTGTTAATTTCTGAAATGAAATAATGTTTTTTTTTCAGAC